GCTGGGGCTAACAATTGCTGCTGTTGGGTTGCAAAGCTGGGCTAATGTTTGAAGCACCAGGGTGAAGCTCGTGAATCATTCCGCAGCGAGCTCTCCAATGCGATTGCCTTTAAACTTTAAACATCTGGCCTTTTGCTTCGCTGCTTCATTCGCACCAAGCTCTCCCCGCTGCTGTCGCCAGGCTGCATCTCCACTGGTCCGCCCAACCTAAACAAGGAGCAGCAACACCACGATCGCCGCGATATTCAATCCAAGCGAGAACAAGTTGAATGATCGTGAATCATCACAAATGACTGGCTGCATTTGCTTTAGGCTCATACCTCAAGATGACACTTTCGGCACATCAGCGACAACAAGGCAGCACCTCCTCTTCAGGCTTGGTGTTCCGCGTGGCAACCGGTGCCAATTGAGTCTCTTCTTCAGATGCTCGATGCGCAAGTAACTTTCGACGTTCAGATTGAATGATATCAGGGTACCTCACAAATTGCTGACTTATAAGACTTAACATTGCTGCTGAGCAGCTCAAGCGACAGGGAATCATACCAAGACACTGCGTCAAACATCTGTCGATGGCAAATTCAGACAAGGCAAACAAAGCTTGGCCAAGTTCCTGTGGCTTTTATTGGCAAAGAGTCAAGGCAAAGTCTGCACCATGTCTACGCTTCTGCTAGCGTGCAATTGAAATCTCAGTGGGCAAAAAATGTCCAACCTTCTCTGTGCAAGCTGTCCGTCTTGAAAGAAGCTCCTTCACGAAATAACTTGCTAGCCGTGGCCAAGCCATCTATGTGATGTAGAATGAAATATCACAGAGAGGAACATTGGTCCTCGAACTTGTGCGTATATCTTCTCGTGACGTCCACCACATGGTCACGAGCAAACCCGACGCAATAAGTCAGCTTTTTGCCCCATCCTTTCCTTAGGGTCAGCTCTTGACATCACAAGTGTCAGAGTCTTTTGGATTCTTTTGGCCAAAAGCAACACTCTTTTTTAAGCCCGTGGGGGGGGGTGGTAGGCCGCCAGAAGAGGTAGCTAAGGTAGAAGAGAGGTATCTACTACCCTACTAGTCGGGGGGAGCTTCCTTGAAGAAGCGCTCGCACTAATGATTTGGTTCCTAGATTTTTAGAGAAACCTATACAACATATTTTAGCAAAATGGTGCTCCGGGCTTCTCATACATCAAAGGCGAATCGAAGGCAGCTTCGCATGAATCCACATGAAGCCACCGCTGCTCGGAGTCCGAGTAGATTTCTGTCCAAACATGGTCTGTCCAGTCATGCACATGTCGAGCTTCATAGCCTTAGCGGCTTAGCGAGTATCGCACTTTGACTATGAGGCTGAAAGCTTCGACAACAGAGAATGAATTTTGAACCACTCTAAATGTTGAATTAGCTTCAGAACGCAATTCGACTGAGTTGCCTAGAGAACGGCAAAGGAGTGTAAAGCAATTGGCCCATTCACCACAGCGACCTGTTCGAGTCTCCAATAGCTTGGCTGGATCATTGTAGCCTCAGACTAGAGCGAGTATTGTAAGTACAGTACTAGAAATGTCGACTCCTTTGTATACCGAATAAAAATGTCTGTAGGTTCGTGAAGAAACAGCATGTCTTTCTGTAAGGAGAGGTCACAGGCCACATCTCCCGGATTACGTTGTCAAATGCGTTTGTTAGGGCAAATTCTTGGGACTGCACGAGGAAACCGCGTCTGTTGCCCGCAAGCGGAACACTGTGCAATCTCCACTTGAGAAGCATGGAAGTGCTCCTCCTGTCAGCAAAGAGTGCGTATGCCAAGCAAAAGGCAATGTCAGCCAGCCAAGAGAAAAATGAAAAAGCAACACCTCAGATTCGATGTGGTCTGCGTTGGTTGTCATAGCTCCTCTGGCAGTGGCTTTGCACTCCCAACTATCTTGGTGGCCGTGGAATGACAATGGTCGCACCTTCCAAGGACGGTAGGACTCTGGGATACTCTGGGACTGACCCTGCAAGCTGTGTAATGTCCAAGTGGCACTGGCAACCTGCTCTTGGTACATCCTGGTACCATGAGACTTCATCACATGCAGGGACTTGCTGATCCTCTTGTCTGCACGAGTCGCATTCGGAGACTTTCCTTTCTACAGTGACCAAGTCCCAATATGGATATTGAGATCAACCATCGACATCTCAAGGTTTGAAGGCTAAGAACGTGTTTTGTAATGCACGTAATCCACAAAAGCATGTACCTCTGCATAACGATCGTTTCAAGTAAGCAAACTGCGCAATGCTGGGAAAATCATGCCTGTTGCAGTTCCCGAGTACAAAAGGATCTATATAATTGACGTTTCTTTTGACAAACCTCAGAGTGTTTGGGATACAGCTAGTTGGTCAACGCCACAGACCACCTTGTCTTCTGAACCTGAGAAACATTGCACTTCGTCAAGAATAGCATTGGCGTTTGAGTGAACCAAAAGACAACAGTTTGACAAATATTTTCAGGGTCATCTTCAGAGCAAACAAGGTAGAAAGATCTTTTCTTCAGATCCCTTCTCACTTGTCTCATTGTAATGCTAGACAGAGCTGCCTCTAAAGGTGTCTCTTCTGAAAGCTCGAGCATTGATATTTGGCAAATGAGTAGAAATCGGACGCGCCAGTGCAAGGAATTCAAGCAAAAACCTGTTTGGGAAAGGGCAGCATCAATTTGTTTCTGTGCCTCATACATAGGTTCAAGGCAACACATCTTTTCTACTTTTCGTGTGACTTTGCTTCGAGCTTTTGGTGCGATGGCTCGGACCCCTGACTAGGAGGTTCGCAAAAGTAAAAGGGACACAGCTGCAATTGTGAGTTTGCCCATCCTTCCGCTTTTCAATTGTATCTATCTATCTATCTTTCTATCTATCTATCTATCGATAGATCGATCCCATCCGATCTATGTATCTCTATATACAAGAAACATGTAAGCATCTATAAATGATGCTACCCCCCAACCATTTTGGTGCGTTTAAAGTACTCTGCAACTTGTAGTTGTCATGAAGCCCAGACAACTCTGGCACAAATACAGTCCAACGCCTTTTTACTCTTGATTCATTCTCAATAACCTTTAAGAACAATATCATTGCTAAACAACAATTGAAAAGGACACTGATTGTTCAAAACCCTCCTACTTGGACTTGGAAGTAACGTTCCTATCAATGATAAATTGTGTTTAAGGCAACTTGCTGCCTGCCCAACCAATGCCAACCACAATATAGAATTGAGTTTCCTTTAGGAAACAAGGGGTACCAATAAGTGACACATTAGCATACACAAATGGCGAAGAACCAACTAGTGTGCAAAGAGTGGCTGCGGTGCGCTGTCACCAGAGCAAGAGGTTTACTTCCCCAAAATACTGAAAACATGTATAAGATTCTGGCAGTCTGAAGGATACAAAGGGCAAGATAGAGCAAAAGATAGATATGATGAGACATGGTGCTTTAAACTATTTACAGTAAAGCATTTTCTTTGGCGACGTTGCAAGTGCGATACTACAGCTGGAAGTTCATAACCAACCTCACAGCAATAAGGGTTGACAAGGAGGTATCACATTCCATAGATACTTGTGACACTTTTCGTGTAGCTTGCATTCGCGCTGCAAATTCATTTTGCTTTATGTTGGCAGGTGCAGAAACGATAGACAAAACCACTACCATGGATGATGTCATTCAATACCTCAAAGAGACCGTAGACAAGAAGAGACGCGAAGACCATGTGGTGGTGAGAACCGCTTTGTTGCACCATATGCATACTTTAAATATCAACTAGATCTGTTTTGGCTAAAACGATTTTGAGAATACTCAAAAGATTAGAGTTGGGGCGGTAGCGAAGATTGATATGTTGAGAAGATATGAGAAAACATCCTGTTGTCAGACCCATTGAATCCCTTTGATGGTGGTTAGTGCACATGGATGAAGGGACCAAGTATATACAGTAAATATTTCCTGAGTCCAAAATTCAAGACATTGGGGAACCTTAGATAAATTCAAGATTTCTGGAACCTCCTGACCCATACAGAACTCTGTTCCGAAATCTTGAATCCTGGCATGGATTCCTTTTTTTTCCTGAATTCTTTAATCCTGAATCCCATTGCAATGCGTTGCAATGGGACTCAGTCACCTGCGTTCTGATTACGACTGTGGCACATGTTTCGTTCATGTGAATTCTAAATGTTCATGCATGTATGTACCGTAGCATATATTATATATACATAATATTGTGTATCATATCATACGTGTATATATATATATATACATGTACTTGTAGTATTTTGTCAAGACAAGCAAAATCCAGCCCTCAAATCCAACCTTCAAACATGTTCAGAACATGCAAATACATTTAACCACCATTATACAAAGGTAGGTAGATATAATGGATACTATATATACATATATATATATATATTTTGCATGACATATTCATACATATGCTGAATTTATGGATTGGCACCTAGCTTGCAACCGAGAATGACATATCCACCTTGGCGAGCTCGTCCAGCTGAAGAACTCATGCTTGTACCAGCGGAGCAACCTCAAAAGCAAACTCTTGTAGAGCAAAACTCGCTCCCAAATTTTCAATTTCATGCAAAAGTCCTTGAAACTTAAAACTTTTGAACCTCTCATGCAAAGCGGGTTTGGGCACAGGTGCAACGCGCACCGATTCAGCTGTACAGAACATCCCAAAGGTGCAAAGCTTGGCAGGCTTTGCCATTGCAAACCATGTCGCACTCTGGTACGTGACTTGAACTTTGACATTTTGTTTGTGCTGTGTGTCTGCCAACTGGACGTACATCTCGTGTTCAACTGTTCGAAAAACACCTACAGTATTTGGCCGCAAATGGCATCAACAAATCAAGCAGGCTTACAAGTTCACTGCGATGCCCACATAAAGCGCTATCTATACTTGGACCACCTTGGGTCGCTCTGCTCATTTGCATGTGGATGTGGTTTCGACCGCGAAGTGCAATGAACCAAGCGGTTCCCAGGCCGGTGATTGAGCACTATAGCGCCACGGAAACACAAATTACGGCTCCCAAACTCAGAGCAAGTACCGAAGCGATTGAGGAGGTTCGCCGCACTGCTTTTTGACCTCGAAATGCAAACTGCAATCTAATGCAACAAAGACTTTTATAGTTACCCATCCATGAACTTCTGTTCAGAAAAATCAAGGACAAATCCAGCCTAGTGATTTGCAAGCAGCCTGGAGGGCTGCAGTAAAGCCACCCATCGCTAGCACAGAACCAGCTGCAAAGGAAGCGAGGAAAATCAGGCCAGCTGACTCAGCAATTGTGAGTTTTCCGCTGACAATGTGCAACAATCAAACGAAGAAACAATTGTGATTGTTCAAGTGCCGCACCCTCGTTGACAAGGTTAGTGCCGGTATGCACAATAAGAGAGCATCAGGATGCCTCACCCCAGAAAAGCAACACAACAAATCCTCTTGTTTAGTTTTCACTCATGACAACCAAAACTAGTCGCCGGCGCCGCATTACTCATCCGGATGATCACACATGCTGGCAAACTGCATCCCAGACAGCATCCCTGTCGCCAAGGTCTTCAATCGAAAACGTTGGCACGCAGGCGCGTCTTCGGATGCTTCTTCATCCCACTCCTGGGTCTTATCCAAAAAGACTGGCAATGAACAATGATAACGCCGAAACATGGTGACATTGTTTTTACTCCAAAAACAAACACGCGCAGTTGCAACAAAACATCTGCGGTGAGGAGGGTGTCAGCGCGGCCACGTGAAGCGGGCACTAGGCATTAGGATGCAGCCGCGAGCCAAGCAAGCCGGAACAAGGGCTGAAGCAACACACGGGACCTGGACAAAGCCTGGACAAGGCCCGGACACCACCAGGCGGACAAACATGGACACACACTTATGGAAATGCGTGCTGACTCGAATGCCGCTCGCCACACGGCGACCTAGGTTACCAACATCCTGAAGAGATCAGGAGAGGCCCGACGGAATCTAGGGGTCTTCGAAAGAAAGTAAGGCCAAAATAGGTCTTCGTTGGCCCATGCCATCCAAGTGTCCATGGGCCCCCTGCAACCTACATTGGAAAAACCTTCAAAGAAACAATCCACCTGGATCCCGGTGATTCCAAGGGTTACAGACACACGCCCCCCCGAAGGGGAGGCAAAAAAATTAAGGCTAGGACGGTTGTGAAAGTGTGCGCGCAAACAAAGACAAAAGAATGAAGACAATTTGCCGCTCGTGAGGCAAACCTGCGCGTCCGTACACCTACCTTTTTTCTGCTGCCCTCTTCGGTTTCCGTTTTTCTCTTTCCTTTCTTTTTTCTAAGGCTTGTTAGGTGACTATTCAGGTTTCGCGCCGCAAAGCGGCAGTGTGTGTGTGTACCCCTTGGAGTCAGAGGGATCCGTCAGGATTAGCTT